GGTTCGAAAGAGTTGATTATCTTTTTCGCGAAGAGTACGGATGACGCCTTGAAGTGCTGTACTCAAACGAGCCGAAGTAGGCGTTGTACTAGCTACCGGCTTGTGAGGCGGTCGGTTTGGCGGGAGGCTTATCGAACTTATGTTGAGGTATATATGTGTATACATACATATACATGTTCTATTTATATCTCGCTATATATATATATATTGTCAGCAGGCTTTGCTTTTGTTATGGTACAAAATAATTTTTACATTCGTTCTTGTCATCCCTCCTTTTCTTTTTTCTTTTCCTTTACTTTTTCCCCGTTGCTGGGGTATTTCGTTTTGCGGGCCTACTGTATATGGTTCCGTTTTTTGTCCGGTTTTTGACTATGGATATGGTAGATTTGTTGTGGTATTTAAGAAAACATTAGACATTAGAGAAAGCACAAGGGAAGGAAGGCGTATTAGTCAAGCAAACTAAATGACACATCCCATTTTTTGCGTAATTTTCCCCGTTGTTGGGGTATTTTACTATTTTGTTTTGTTGTGGTAATCTTGTCTGCTGCATCCCGGTTGGTTTTGTCCCGTTATTCGGTCTATTCAGTCAGCAGGTAGCGGTGCTTCATGTGGGACCAGACATCCGTTTTTTTTTTAATATTGTTTTGGCATCCTGGTTGGTTGTTTGCCGTTGTTCGGCCTTTTGGAAAGCGGGGCGGTGCTTGCATATGGGAATCGTCATCCGGGATGGGTTCTTTTTGGTACTTTTTTTCATTTCTTTGCAGACAAGAATGTTTTGACATCCTGGTTGGTCTTGTCCCGTCGTTTGGCCTGTGGGCAAGGGCGGTGCTTGCATGTGGGACTTGTCATTTGGGATCTGTTTTGTTGCCCCCTGTTCTGTTTTATTTGGCTGTTCCCCTCCTCTCTTCTTTGCCTCTTTGCCTTTTGGCTGTGTGCAAGTGGGTCGATATGACACACGGGGGTGGGGGCAGACTCAACCTACATCCACGTGGGCGGCCTTGTACGCAAGAGGAGGTTCTGAACAGGGGGAGTCTTGTAAGGAAGAAGATTAAAAATGAATCAGTAAGTTTTTCTTGTTTCTGTTTTTCGCTTTGGCGCTCTGATATCATGTGACAATATATTGTCACAAGAATATCAGAGCGCAAAAGCGAAAAAAAAACAGAAAGAAAACAAGGAAAAAATGAATTCGTTTTTTTTTTATCTATCGTGAAACAGAGCTGCCCGGTAAACGGGAGGTGGCAGAGAGCGACAAAAGGGAGAAGAGGACAACAAACGAGGGGCTGTGACAAACTGTTTCGTCGGAGTTTCACCGACTCATCAATCAGTAGAGGCTGAACCCTCGACAGTCTGCAGAATCCCCTAACTGACTGATTACACTGTAAGTGATGATCCACCTGAACACCCGGCTGTGGTTAAGCATCAACGACTGCCCGACAATTGATACCCCTCGGAGGAGGTGGGGACCACCAACCACTGCCCTCGAGGTACCTGTGACGATAATCAAAGCAGAAACAAGCAAGCAAAACACCCACGAAACACAGAAAGGTCTGTCACAGCCAAAAACTACACTTCAGACACGCCTCTTGCACTAGAGGTACAGCATGGCCTTGTAGTGTATATATATATGCAATTATATAATAGAACTGCCCGGTAAACCGTAGGCAGAGAGGGAGAAGAGGACAACAAACGAGGGGCTATATATATATAATTGCATATATATACATATATATGCAATTGCAAGGAAGAGTTAGATGAAGCCAACAAAAAATGATGATATGTATATACGTATCTGGATGCCATGGACCTATGTCTTCTACGTATATATGTATACTACTACACATAGGCAATCTGACCGCTATAAGACTCATCTATAGACGTATCTCCTCTGTCTATAGATATAGTCGCCGTATATATATCTATGCATCTGTGTATGTATACGTATCGTGCTTATCGATTTCATATCTATATTCCTAAATGCGTAGCTGTATATACATCTCTGTCCCTCATGATTATGCGGTCAAGCTTCGACGAAAACAGTCTGCCACAGCCCCTCGTTTGTTGTCCTCTTCTCCCTCTCTGCCTACGGTTTACCGGGCAGTTCTATATTTCGACATAGAAAAGAAAAGGCGGCCGGGAGGGGGGGATGGTGATAGACTGTTCCGTGGGACGCTGATGGACTGATATTTGTGTCTACATCCATTTGTCTGTATAACTACATATATCTACAACGATTCTACATGTATCTGCATATATCTGCATCCATTTCTCATCCATCTGTTTTTCTGTCCATCTGTCTGTCTGTGTGTGTGTGTGCGTGTGTGTATATATGCATGGATACGTACTGAGGTGTGGAAATGGCTGAGGCCTCGACAGTCTGCAGAATCCCCTGCTGAATCTCCTACCAATGCTTCATACCCTGTCCCTATTGATGCGTTGAACCCCTGCTGAAACCCCTACTGATGATTTGAACCCCTGCTGAAGCCCCTACTGATGCCATGAACCCCCTGCTGCAACCCCTACAGATGCTTCAAACCCCTGCTGAAACCCCTACTGATGCTCTGATCCCTTTCCCTACTGGCGACGCCTTAAACCCTCGTCTAATGCTTTGAAACCATACCAATGGTTTAAAGTCTTACTGACGATTTGAACCCCCGCTGATGATTATAAACCCATCCCTACTGATGAGGCCTTAAACCCCAATTGATGCTTTGAGCCCCTCCTGATGCCCTGAAACCCTACTTATGTTTTGAACCCCTACTGAGGCTTTTAACCCCATCCTTACTGATGATGCTCAGAACCCCTACTAAGCCTTGAACCCCTACTAAGCCTTTGAACCCCTACTAAGCCTTTGAACCCCTGCTAAGCCTTTGAACCCCTAGTAAGCCTTTGAACCCCTAGTAAGCCTTTGAACCCCTAGTAACCCTTTGAACCACTACTAAGCCTTTGAACCCCTACTGATGATTCTGATGGCCTGAAACAGTACTGATGCTTTGAACCCCTACTAAGCCTTTGAACCCCTACTGATGATTTGATCCAATCAACCAAATCAATCAAATCAATAAAATCAACCAATCAACCATCAACCAATCAACCAATCAACCAATCAACCAATCAACCAATCAACCATCAACCAATCAACCAATCAACCATCAACCAATCAACCAATCAACCAATCAACCAATCAACCAATCGACCAATCAACCAATCGACCAATCAACCAATCAACCAACTATTCAATCAAATGAATCAAGATGAATCAAATCGATCAACCAACCAACCAACCAACCAACCAACCAACCAACCAACCAACCAACCAAACCAACCAACCAACCAACCAACCAACCAACCAACCAACCAACCAACCAACCAACCAACCAACCAATCTATCCATCCATCCATCCATCCATCCATCCATCCATCCATCCATCCATCCATCCATCCATCCATCCATCCATCCATCCATCCATCCATCCATCGCTGCCATCATTTTGCAACACACCTTCAAATGTTATGCAGTGTTTCGACAGCACATGCCTATTAACCCAATCCAATAATGAAGCAGGTCAATCAGTCAATAAGTAAGTGGAGCCAGCCAGCAAGCCCGTTGGCCTGCTTTCCCGATAAAGCTCGACCAGCGACCAATCAATCAGTCAATCAATCAATCTTCCACCCCCGCACCCACCTAATCCACCCGCTGAGCCAAGTAGCTATCTTCTTACCAACCCAGCAAGCATTCAATCCATCCAACTATCAATCCATAATCAAATTAATCAATCAGTTCAAGCATCAACATGGTTAATCAGTCAACAAGTAAGCGACCGTTGTGATCCGATATGTTAAAATGTTGAGTCATCCCGGTTTTGTGGACTCCACGCCAAGAAGGGTCCCACAGCCCCTGCGCCACCCCCTCCCCCCCCCCCCCCCCCCCCCCCCCCTTCCCCCCCCGTCTCCACAACTCCCTTCCTCGGGCTCCTGCTACCCACCAACATGTCATATGTTGGTGATGCAACTCTACCCACCAGCATCTCATCTCCTCCAGACATTTGGTTTCAATTTTTGTGTGTTTTACCTATTTATGGTGTGATAGAATTAGCTATATTTTATGCTTTTATTTGGCAAATTTCTCAAGACAAAACAGCTGACAGATCTAATATGGAGACTTGAAGGATAAGAAAGATAATTAATAAAGCGCACATTGGATGCAACTATCCCTACATTGCCATTTGCATGCACGTGTGTAGTGGCTTTCTCACGGATCGTATGGGGATCCCAGTCTTCTAGTTGTACCGGTAGCTGGTCCAGGGTTTCTTTGCGCTCTCTAGCGTGTTTAATTGGATACTTCTTCGCCCTTTCTTGAAGCTGTCATGTGCTGGTGATGCAACTATCCCTACATTGCCATTCGCGTGCACATGTGTAATGGGGTCCCCACGGATCACATGGGGATGGGCAGCAAGGGGGGGTAGGCATTACACCTTTTGAGCATTTAACACGGGGAGGCAAGGGTGGTTATTACCCCTTTGGGAATTTAACTTTGACGTTCCTGGCTGCAATTTCGGCGTTTTCTGAACCGAAATCATCAGGGCTTACCGGGTTTCCGCCAGTAGGAGCTGATGATTTCGGGGTTGGAAAAACGCCGAAATTGCGGCCAGGAACGTCAAAGTTAACCGACCAAAGCGGTAATAACCACCCTTGCCTCCCCGTGTTAAATGCTCAAAGGGGGTATTATTATTTTGTCTAATAATGAACCCAAGCAGGGTTCTGCCCAATTAATCCGTGCAGAGGGTAGTGTGCTGATCATCTTGCACACTGCACACAGGGTAGTGTGACCTTACCATGCAGGGCTCTTGTGGGCATGATCGGACCGTTAGTGCCGTCATCATCCTTGGCACCCTTGTGGGCATGAATCAGACCATTACTTACGGGCCTACAAGCTACCATCTTCGCCGGATTAGAATGCCCACCGGTCATTATCGTATCTAGACTGAAAGTTGCCCCCCCCAAAAAAACCAAATACAGCTATAATGGCCACATGTTCTATTCAAGTGAAGACGATAGAGAAAACCTCTGGCTTGCAGGGCTAGCTTGTACGGCTCAGAAGTTTCTCCAACCCCCACCAACTCAGTCTACGAGCTGCATGTTGTAGGGGGGCTGATTGCAGGGGGGCTGATTGTAGGGGGGCTGATTGTAGGGGGGCTGACTCCCCCATGTTGCCAGTAGCTCCCACTGTGAGGCTCCATGTTGTAGGGGGGCTGATTGTCCAGGAGAGATGTTGGGTTTCTTTTTTTTTTCTTTTCTTGAAAGCACCCACTGGGGGTGCTACCCTGGGTGGTAAGAGCAGGTGGCGACCTTACGCCTCGAAGAGCAGATGCTTCGCGATGGCAGTGACGTTGGCTAGGCTTTGATTGAATTGAAAAGCCCATCGGAATTGGTTGTGAGATGGCGCACCGCAAAAATAGGGATAGAAAGCTATTTTTATCTACAGAAGATTTTATGCCCAGTGGATTATTGCAACCATATTGATGTAAAGCAGCAATATGAAGAATACTAGCACCTGCAATTATAAAAGGAAGCAAATAACGAAGACTGAAAAAGCGATTGATAATCTATCTCATTGCTGAAATGGCTCCGCTTCTGAACCACTCCGAGTATCACCGCCCCACGGTTGGCTCCTGTCCATTGGTGGGCAGCATCACCTGCTGGAAACCGGGTCCAACGCCCCGTACAGAATTGATTTAGTACCAGGGCCATTACCCGGCTTGGGCTTAGGGAGGGAACAAAGGTAGGGATGTTGGCTTTTCCTGCTGCACAGGAGGCAAACAGTGCTTGCCAACTACAAGTTTTTTTTTTTTTTTTTGAGAATTATAATTCAGTGATTATTACATTGCTGTTTAATTGCAAACTTACAAAACTATTACAAAGCCGTTTTGTCGGTTGCTGACCCGATGCCTAGGCTCTTCAAGAAAGAGGAAGAAGGAAAAAATGCAATTAAAGCTGCGATTTTGTCCCCAAAAATTTCAGTTAATCTTGGTCTTCTGTGGATACGCAGATGCAATGAGGACACACAAACACGTGGATTGAGTGGAAACAGAGCTAGTGTTGGTGGTTTCATCTGTCGCAGGAGAAGAAGGAACTTGTGTGGCACGGACTGTGCGCTTTGCAGTGTGTGGGATCATCAAATCCATCAGCTTGAAAAGGTTTTCTGGAAGAAAAAACGAACTATGATTTTGTCCCAATGTTGGCCTTCTGTGCATATAGGGAGATGCAGTGAAGAGATGACTATGATTTTGTCCCAAAGATTCTATTGATGTTGGCCTTCTGTGCATATAGGGAGATGCAATGAAGAGATGATAGGGACAGACAAAGATGTGGATTGAGTTGTACTGTACGTTTCGTGTGTTGCAGGAGAAGGAACTTGTGTGGCAAGGGCTGTGTGCTTTGCTCGGCGTGGCATCATCGATCAATCAACTTGAAGGATACGTGATCCCTTATTCGTCTTCTTCTTGTTCTTCTTGTTCTTCTTCTTCTTCTCCTTCTCCGTCTTCTTCTTCTTTGTTGAATCTCGGGAGTTATTGCCTGCGACTACCTTCGAGTAGTGCTGCCTCGGTTACAAAAGCAGTTAGAGCGCTGATTGAAGCGGGGAAGTTTCGTAGAACGTTGGATTCGTTTGTTACGTTTCATCTGGATCGCCCAGGTCCACGCAGAAAGGAAGATAGACCAGCAGCGCAAAGTGGGAAGACCATGCGGGATGGGAGAGCGAGAAGAGATAAGGGGAAGGAGGAGATGACATCAACCGATGTCCCTGTCGCAGTCAAAAGACCATCTTCCGGAGTGCGTAAATCGTTGGTCAATCAAGCATTTGCCGCGGCTGTGGAGAGTGTGTTGATGTGGCACACGGCCTCGCTGGACAAATTGCTTGCTTGTGTTCAAGAGAGACGAAGTCGGGAGGAGCTTGACAAATTCTACGACAGTGAATCGGAGGAGGAGGTGGTGGCTAGGGGAGAGAGAGCGAAGAGCAGTGGAGAACATGCTTCTGGGTCAAAGAACAAAGATATCACCCTGACTGAACTAATGATCCACACGAGCGACCTGAGGCTCTTGCTAAGACAGCTTGCAGATATATGCCTCTGTGATAAGGCTGTGAATGTTGAACTGCCGGCGGACCGGGGTGCGGCAGTGGAGTCTGAAATTAATGGAGGGCAGAAAGAGGGACGGGGGAAGAAGGATGCAGGAACTCGCTCAGGACACTCGCATGTTGAGGAAGAGAATGATAGGGAGAGAGGAGGGGAGACATCCACCGAGTATGAGAAGAAAATGGTGCGGAACGAGAAGCCCAGAGTGGCCAGCCGTACAGCTGCCGCCATCACTGCATCTCCTTCTCTAAGAGAGAGTCCGGATACCCCTCGATGGGATCATTTTCCCAGGGGTGAAGAGCTGCTCGCCTACTTATATGATCGACTGATGGTAACCTCTCATTTTCTTAACATCAGCTTAACCCAGCCTGGCTCCAGCGTAGTCCAGCCCAATGTAGCCCAGCCCCAGCGCAGCCCACCTTACCCCAGCGTAGCTCACCCTAGTGTAGCCCAGCCTACCCTGGCCCCAGTGTAGCCCAGCCTACCCTGGCCCCAGTGTAGCCCAGCCTACCCTGGCCCCAGTGTAGCCCAGCCTACNCCTGGCCCCAGTGTAGCCCAGCCTACCCTGGCCCCAGTGTAGCCCAGCCTACCCTGGCCCCAGTGTAGCCCAGCCTACCCTGGCCCCAGTGTAGCGCAGCCTACCCCTGGCTAGCCAAGTAGAGCCCATCCTAGCCCCAGTGTGGCCCAGCCTAACCCAGCATAGTCTGCAGAGCTCACTCTAGCCCCAGTATAGCCCAGCCTTACCCAGCCCAGCGCATTGTGGTGCAGCCTAGCCCCAGCCTGACCTAACCCTAGCTTAGCCGAGCCCAACCCAGCCTACTACAGCCTACCGTCTTCATTCAAATACAATGTACTGTCATTATAGCTATATTCGGGGCAACTTTGACTCTAGGTACAGCAATAATGACCGCACGTTGTATTCGGGTGAAGACGGTAGGCCCAGCGGAGCACATCCCAACCCAGCCTACCCAAGCCCCAGCTCAGCCCAGCCTAACCCAGCCCCTGGGCCAGTGGAGCCCAACCTAACCTCTCCTAGCCCAGTCCCACTCAACCAACCCCCTCCAGGGTCACGACCACAATGTATGCTTCTGAGCTTGGCTGTATGTAACATGGTTGGTGTTGTTAGTGCTGTTGTGGTTATTGCCTCCCATCTTTTGTTGGCTGCCTATTGAATCTATGACAAGGGACCTAAGGGACATACATGCAGATGTTCTCAAGTGACGTACACCTGCCATGCAAAGGTTTTCCTGATAGTCATAAATATACAAGTGGAAGAAGAGCTTTGTTTCGAGCTCCCATAAGAAAGCAATTGTTGGGTCTAAACTTGTAAAGGTTTAGGGGCCGGGTCATCCAGCCCCCTGTTTTGAGAGAGGTGCCTTAGGAGCACTGAGTGGCAATTAATTTTGAGAAAGGAATTTCTGGCGAGGTGCCTCAGGAGCAATGAGTTTTGAGAAAAATTATCTTGAGAGATTAAAGAGGCATCTCGTTAATTTTTTTAGAGTTCTTTTTCGGGAAAATTGTTGAAATACCCCTAAAACTTTGGGTATTTTGTTAGATACCCCTAAATAAACACAGAAGTGCGTTGAAATGCATCTGCCTCTGTCCCGATCATTGGCAACTTCGCCATATGCCCTGGCCCTGGGCTGCAGGGGCCGTGCATTTCTTTTGGAATTTGCAGGGTCCAACGGGCTAAAACTTGGGGGGATATAGACAAGTTGCCCAGGGCCCGGTAGGGGTATATGCAAAAAAATGACACGTCCAATTGGCGTGTGGGGCATTTCACAAAGTTTCACTACTGTCGTATGGGCATTTTGCCATACCTGTGCCTTTTAGGGTATCTGACGAAATACCCAAACTTTCAGGGGCATTTCAAAATTCCCCCCCTGCTTGCAACTTCGCCCATATGTGGCCGCTGGATGCTTGAGAGGCATTTCCTTTTGTTTGGAAGACGAGGATTGAGAGGGTTAAAGAGGCCTCTGTGATGCTTCTTTCACAGGTTTTGATGTTGAATGGGTTGAGAGCTTCATTTTCGAGTTGTGCACACAGAAAAAAAGGCCAGTCTGCCTCAGAAACCTTGGAAACACAGCATTCATTTCCTCGTTGTGCACACAAGAAAAGAGTTAAGAATCTTAAGATTGACGAGAGTGCTGTCACTGGCAGATCAGATTTGTGAGCAAATGAGAGAAGCAATGCAAAGTGTACCTGGCTGATAGTTCCTTCCCCCCCACTTTCCCGCCCTCTGGCACCACCATGCCCAACAATTTAACTTCCCTCTTGGTCTTCAAATGGATGGTACACATCTCCAGACTGCCAAGACATTCTTTACATTCTAATGTCTTTAACGGCATTCTACTGTTTGGCCGTCTCCCAAACCTCCTGCTGGTGAGGCTCTTCTTCTTCTTCTTCTTCTTCTTCTTCTTCGTCGTCGTCGTCGTCGTCGTCGTCGTCTTCTTCGTCGTCTTCCTCGTCGTCTTCCTCGTTGTCTTCCTCTTCCTCTTCCTCTTCCTCTTCCTCTTCTTCTTCTTCTTCTTCTTCTTCTTCTTCTTCTTCTTCTTCTTCTTCTCCTTCTTCTTTGTATCCGTTGTCGCCATCGCTATTGTTGTGGTCTTCTTCATCGCCGGGTTCGTTGTCTTCTTCTTCGCCTTCTTCGTCATTGTCGTCATCGTTGTCATCCTGATCTTCTTCTTTGCTGGCTTTGTTGTCTTCATCATCTTCTTCTTCTTCTTCTTTGCCATTGTCGTCATTGTTGTCGTTGTGATCTTCTTCATCGCCGGCTTCGTTGTCTTCTTCTTCTTCTTCTTCGTTGTCGTTTTCGTCGTCGTCGTCGTCTTCTTCGTCTTCTTCGTCGTCTTCGTCGTCTTCGTCGTCTTCGTCTTCTTCGTCTTCTTCGTCTTCTTCGTCTTCTTCGTCTTCGGTCCTAGCCTCCGTCCATCAGTCAAACTTGAAACCCTCTCTATGGAATGGTGCTTAGAAGATGCATTACAAGCTGCCAACTGCTTTTGACGGAAAGAGTCTCAAAAGAATGGAGGGAAACAGCGGTAGATAAAACTAAGATGACATCTCATGAGAACTTGACAGATGGGCAATGGTCTCAGGATCGTAAGGTTCTCCGTCGTCGTTCGTGGTGTGGTGAATCACTCCCTTTCAGCGTGGTTGAAATTTCACGTCGTCTCTCTTTTTTGGAGTTCTAGGATCAATAAGAGGAAAATGGCCGCAAAGGCCCGCAACCCTTCACATTCTTGTTCTCAGTAGGGTCTGAGTTTTTGACACTCGATGTGTTCGTCAGAACGCAGAGGTCTACACCTTTCATCTAATATCTCCTTGTTCTTCTCTCCCTCCCCCTCTTCCCCCTCTTCCCTGTCTTCCCCCTCTTCCCCCCCGTTTTCCCCTGTTTCCCCCTCTTCCCCCTTGTCCGCTGTTCTCCCTGTTCCGCCTGTTCCCCCTCTCTTCCCCCTGTCCCCCCTCTTCCCCCTGCTCATCGTCCTGCTCATTCCTCCTCCTCCTCGTCGTCCTCCTTTTCCCATCGGTGTTGCTATCCTTGTCCTCCTCGTCGTCATCGCCCTCCTCCTCCTCCTCCTCGTCACCATTGTGGTGGTCTTCATCGTCTTCCTCCTCCTCGTCGTGCTCTTCGTGCTCTTCCTGCTCTTCCTTCCCCCTCTCCCCTTTCCATTGTCGCGTTGTCATTGCCATCGTCGTCTTCCCCATCCTTCAGGTGCTCCAGGATGCAGATGCTTCATATGTCCAGCTGCTTCGTTTCCTGTTCACAAGTGCTTGCAGACCATATTTTGAGTTCATTCGATCATGGCTGTATCGGGCTTCAATCATGGACCCCTATGAGGAGTTCATTGTGGAGATTACCCATGTGCGGAAAGAGAAGCAGGACCAAGTCTCGGAATCTCGGCGTGCAAGTGACAAGTCCACAGGACTGGAAGTGACTGCGAAGGCAAGCATAATATCATATAGCATTGCCCTCTGCCATTGCTCCATTGTTCTTTTCTATGCCATCTTGTTGTCTTGTCTGCAACTTCATCTCTGGTATCCCGTTCTCCCATTCTCCCATTCTCTCTCTTCTTATTCCCTAAGCGCGCAGCCACCATGTCTTCCTCGCTTTTCATTCTAGGCAATGGCTATTTCAGTTTTTCCTTCATCTTCTGGAACCTAATTTTTGAACCACCAGTCCCTCTGGGGTTAAAACTATTGCCGCTGTTTTGCCTTGGTAGTTGAGGCCGGTCTAACTAGTAGCAAGCCTGGTGAGGGGCGGACTGAAAAGAAAAGGAAAACCATCAGGCTGGGCAATGAATATCGAAGCGATATTTGTAAGTCTCTGTGTTCTTTTTTTGTGTTGTCCGTTGAAGATGCCCACATTTAGAAAACTCAAAATGGCTATGCAGCTGTAAGCTTATGCAACGAACCTCCTAGTTCAACACCAGTGAGCGCACATATTCACACCACATGCATGTATGAGATCACATGAAGTTCACACTGGAGACCAGAGAGATTAAGACCAGGTAGCGCAGCTTATGAATTCCAACAAGTTATTACAAGAGCAGTAAGAGTTCCAAGTCACCTGCGCTCATCAGCGCATGTCAAAGGTAACCAATAACCAGCATAAGCTCTCAGGTAAGTATCTCTTCCCCCACTGCTCTTCTCTCTTATGTATCCCCCCTCCTTGCTGGTCTTCTCCCTAGCTATGTCCTCGCTGTGTCTTCTCTCCCTACATGTGTGCACACACACTAACTTCTACTCAAAGATCTACTCTGAATACACCCACTGATATGCCTACTAACCATCTAAAGTCTACTACTAACACTCCGCACTGGCGCAGCTATGGCTGCCTTCTCCTTGCCAGCGCAATCTCTTCTTCTCTCTCTCTCTCTCTCTCTCTCTCTCTCTCTCTCTCTCTCTCTCTCTCTCTCTCTCTCTCTCTCTCTCTTTCTCTCTTGCTGGAGCACTCTTGCTTATGCGCTCTGCCCCTCACTACAGCACACACGTGCACCAGCACTTCCACCCTTTTTGCGAATGAGCAAGCTGCCCGAATGGGAGGCTGGGCAGCCCTTTTGTAGTCTTGGATTGCACTTCAACTCGTGCCAGCCTCTGCTTATTGGGACCTGACTGGTTCCGGTACCACATCCCCTCGGCCTGTCTGCTTTCGAATGTCAAGGCCTGGAAACTTCCCGAATTTCCATAGGTCTGCTGCTGCTTGGGCCTTTGAGTCGTGACTTTTCGATTTTAGCATATGGTTTTTGACTGTGGACTGACTCCTGCCTCTGAGACACGAGTCTTGCCTATAGGACTGCCCGTTCACTCGTGGGATGTGACTCTTCAATATGACTTTTCATTATGAGACGTGATTTTTGTCCCTGAGATGTGACTGTTTGCTGGGTGCCTGTTGGACTGGACCGCTAAAGGACCCGACCGTGACTTTTCAGAAATTGACAAACTTGGGCTTTCTTGGCCAGGGCCGCTGACCCTGAGACCCGAATTTGGGGTCTGAATCGTGGAAGGCCTTTCACTTATGAGGGTGGTGTGGTATAAAATGTAAACCATCCAAGATGAACAACATTCACAGAAAATACTCACACATGTCCACGATACGTGACGTGCAACGTGTTATTGACTTCTTTGGCTCACACGTTTTTGAGCTCAAATGCCAAGGAAAGAAGAAACAGATCGAAGATGTAGACATCTTCACGCAAAACACCCACCCTTCTTGCCTACTTTTTTTTTTTTTTTTTTTTTTTTTTCCAAACAGGGCCTCAAGGTCCTGGCTCCTTCTATTCTGGGGAGCGTCAGTCCGGTTCCTATTCCACCGGCAAGTCAAAATATACATTACTGTCATTACATCAATACACATTCACACACTTCCTTCCGTCTGGCCGAAGGACCCCTGAACAGCATTGATTGCTCCACCCCGGTGGAGGATTGACTGTCAGCTTGCCCTGTTCCTCTCTTCCCTCTCAGACCTGGATTCCAGATCTGCCAGATAGCGCCATTGACCTTAGAAAGAGCTCATCCGTTGTCTTTGCCGACCTGTTTCCTCCCCACACACCTCTCTGCCCCTTTGGATGATCAACTGTCAAAACTTAAACCCTAAACCCTCAGCCTGCGTTCCTGTCCTCCGATCATCAAACTTAGAACCTGGCAGGACTTCATTTGCTTCCGGACCTTTGTGATAAAAAAATTTCTTTGCAACCACCGTTCATGGTCCAGCATTATCCTCTTCTCCAACTTGTTGTCCTTTCTCCCATGTTCCCTCTTTATCTGTACCCCCTGGGCCTCTTGCGGGTTGTATTCATTCCCTTGCGGCCTAAGATGTGACTATGCCCTCCGACGTTGCCTGTTGTTGAGGCCCCTTTCTTTTTTCCTAAACCCTGTTCTCACTTTGTGGTAATACTTGACATCTCTCCTTGCCTTCTACCTCCTTTCCTAGGCCTGTCACAGTCCCTGGCTGCACTTCAACGGAAGTGATGATGTTCGTTGGTCATTTTCTCTTTAAGATTCTGACAAGGGGGAGCCTTGTCCCTACATTGTTCTCTGCTGCCCCTCTCTTCTTCCTGCACTTGAGTTGTGCCAGTCCTTCCATCGAATGTTGTCGTCCCTCAATTCAGCCACTTTGTCGTCAGCCAACCAGACTTTACTGAAACTCTGCCCGGCCTTATTTCGTTGTTCCTCATCTTCGGACCATGACTGTTTGATCCTCCGCCATCTGCATAGAATTTCTGCCTGAATCATTGTCTTCATCTCCGCCCAGACCAATTCGCGTGAGTTGGATATTTCTTCGATCGTTCTGCTGCATCTCTCCTTCCTGATCAGCCCGTACCAGACTTTTTCCGCTTTCCGGGGTTGTTGGGGGATGTTAATAAGAAGAAGGATTTAGATGGGTTTTCCAGGGAAAGGGGAAGGGAACAGGGAGTTCCAGAGGATNCTGTTGTTGAGGCCCCTTTCTTTTTTCCTAAACCCTGTTCTCACTTTGTGGTAATACTTGACATCTCTCCTTGCCTTCTACCTCCTTTCCTAGGCATGTCACAGTCCCTGGCTGCCCTTCTTGCCTACTTCAACCCCCTTTTCGAGCAATTTCTCCTGTAATCGATCACAGTCAGTATTGTGAATACATTGTAAGTTCATGCTTCTAAGTACTATGGTCTGAGGTCTGCTAGATGAACAGCCACTGAAGACATGTATACCCAGCCCATGTGGCTGAGTGGTACAGACATCTAACTGTCAGTAAGCGGATCATGAGTTCGAATCCTTACTGATCAAATGAATACACGATTATGTTATGGGCTACCTTCTCCTTGGAAAAAAGAAAAAGAAAGATGGGAGTCACTGAAGTCTGTATCATAGGTTGACACTGTGTCATAAGGGACCTCTGGTTCTGTACTACAGGCAATGAATACTTGTTTCTCTTCACGTCCCAGTGCCTTCTCATGTAGGACCCCTACCTCCAAGATCTGAAGAACTTCATATTCTTTTTCCTAGCCTTAAACCACTAGAACCTTTGCCGTTCGGTTTTGACAAGTTTTAGCCTAGTCCCAAACTTTTAGGAGGCCGGGCCCGACAACGGCTGCCGTTGATAAATTTGATCGGCGGTTGTCGTTTCCTTTCGGCCTCCTGAAAGGTCGGAGGCCCGCAATTTTCCGAACCCCGACAAAGGTACCAGAGCTTTAAACCACCAGTACACCCGGGCCCGGAGGCGCTGCACTGCACGCCAAGCTTTTTTGAACCACCAGCGGTGCACTTTTTTTCTCTTTTGGGGGGCATTGCCAGCCATTGTGGTCCGATAGGCCCGACCAACGAAATTTTCAGAGTAGGCGACAAACAAATTTCCACAAGGCGGGGCCAGCGGCCTAGCTCAGTTGGTTGAGCACGTAAGTGGTATTTAGGAGGTCATGGGTTCGATTACCACGACCCCCATTCGGCTCCCCACGGCCCCCTGCTTCACACTTCGGGCTCACCACCTGAGATAGACGGTTCGCCCCCCCTAGTAGCACTGTGCACCCACACAGGGGGTTAGGTTCAACCCTGAGGGGATAGGCTCAACCGGAAGGGCTCAACCCCGAGGGGATAGGTAGGCTGGGAGATCTGGGAGTAAAGCGTCCCATAGGTACATAGTCTGCAACCCATAACCCTTAGAATAGCTTGCTTCTCATCAGACTAGTGCAGAAGATAAAAGGGAAATGTCCATACTAGATAAGGGTAGGTAGGTAGCTAGTGTGAGGTAGATACAAGATTGAGAGAAGGAAATAGGGTAGTAAATATAGCTTGTCCCCCATATATGAGGAGGAGGCAGCTGTATTCTTTGAAAAAAAAAGAGGAAAAGAAAAAAAATATTCACAAAAAGGCTGGGGCCGTGTACTGGCGGTTTAATGTTACCCCCCCCAGGCCTCCATATTTCGTAGGCCGCCTCAACCCGTAACCCCTAGATCAGAAGGTCTCCTTGAGATCTCCCAGGCTTAGCGTTGCCGCTCCCCCAAGGCGGCTAAGACATCTACCTGCCGTCTTCATGCGAATAGAACTCCCAGTCATTATAGGTGTATTTGGGGGCGAATTTCAGTCGATATAGAGCGATAATGACCAGGCGTTCTATCGGGGTGAATACGGTAGGCTGGCAGTGGTGGTGGCGAACGTCAACCATAGCCCAGTCGATGCAGTTTGGGCTTCAACCATGGCCTGGTTCGAACAACTTCTCACACAAAGTGGGCGCATCTCTCGTCAACTTGCTGCTGCTCAACTTAGGTTACTGTCTCCCCCCGAACATAACACACCTTGATCATGAGTGTACACAAGCTATTAATCCTGGTCCAATACAGTGGTGCGTTGTTTGGGGGAAGACAGTAGTATTGCAAATTTGTGAAACACAAAAAAAGGGAAAAAACGAGCGAGGAAGCGCCATTGCAGCCTGGTGGCCTGCTCCCCGTAGTTGCTGAATGCGAGCATGGCCTGGTATGTGTAGGCAGGCTGGCAGAAATAAGCACATGTAATTTACACATGCGGCCAAGGGGTGCAGGGTTGGTAACCTGCTACCACATACCGAATATCCTGGTGCCTGGCTCCGGGGCTGCCGGGGTGGTACGTGGCGCTTGACGCCCAGCAGCGAAAAAACATGGCGGTTGCAGTGGCTGAACAATATGCACATGTAATTTACTAATTGCTGATGCGCAGATTATGAGTGCGCATCCGGAACAGTGCAACAATGTTGGGGGCTCACTTTTTTTTTTTTTTTTTTTTTTAACCCAGATCCTCAAGGCAGATTTGTGCTGTGCGCCAAAAACAAAACAAACCGCTGCGGCACTTTTTTTTTTTCATATCGGTGGTCTGGCAGGCTGAGGCCCTGAACATCGCAATGGTTAACCAAATCTATTGGCCTCCGTTGCCTTGTGAAAGGTATTGGAGGTTTACGAAAGAAAAAGAAAATGTCCATTAATGCAGTCATCTCTTCTGGTGCCCTGTCTAGATGGCATATAGTGAATTGTCTACAGATCTGAAGGCATGTAATGGTAAGGGAAAGGAACTTAGCACTCTGGTGGTGATAAAAAAGCACTTTTTTTCTTTTTTTCTTCTTTCTAAAGGTTTGTGGGTGGCAGCTAGACTACCAGAGTGGCCCGGGACCACTTGCCCGGCCGGGCCAAAAATAAATAAATAAATAAACAAATATATATATTAAATTTGATAAAGAATTTCGATGTGAACCGGAGGCAAAAGTTGTTCAGTTTATTTTTCTGCATAACAATGATAACATAATTTTTTTTCGGGTTCTTTTGAGAGTTTTTTTTTTTTTTTTCTTGCTAGGACCTCCTTGCACGGTCGGGCCGCCCGGGAAAATAGGGTGACCCGGGCAGCCCGGCTGCTAGCCTGTGGCAGGGATTTCTGAGGCTCGGGGGCATATGTGTATGTGAGGGTGGTTAGAGTTTTTTTTTCAGATTTTGCGGAGCGCTTGGTCCTCAGACAATTACATGCTTTTTCTGTTTGAAAAGCGGTTGCCTCAGGCATTGGGATGCTGTGTGCATTCACTCTCCAAGTACAAAGAGACATATACACAGTTTTTTTTTTTTTTTTGTTTGAGGCATGCTTGCTTCATCGGGCGTTGGGAACTTGGGATGCTGCCTGCATTCAACAGTGGTCGCAAATTAGAGGGCATTGTGTTGTTGCATTCCTTTGCTTTGTCCAGGAATCAGTAATCTTCTGATAGTCTCTGTCTATGTAATCATCGTTGTTTGTAATTCCAAGTGCCGTACATGAGAGCGAAAGGAAGGGTGGGAAATGGGAGGTAGATTAGTTCAGGTATGATTGAGGCGTGTGACTGTGTGGTTGCTGTCCTTGCAAATGTCTTGCGTCGGAGCGAAAGGAAGGGTGGGAAATGGGAGGTAAAGTAGTTCAGCTGGTTGATTGACGTGTGTGGGTGTGTGGTTGAGGTTGTCTGCAGATACGGGAGGGTGTGGCAATGCCATCCTTCCTGAGGCACATACAGACCCCTTTATTACGTGCAGGGCACCAGCTGCAAATCCTGCTTGCTCTGCCAGAGGTGAGAGATCTCATGTCGGAGGTCCGAGAACTCATGTCAGGGTACTCTCCTGGCTATGGACCTGACTCATCCAACGTGGACCCATGGAGTGGCAGAGTTGTAAGTGGAACAGAAACATGGCGCCTGCTCAGCACGAGTGATGTATCAGCTTTCTCCGAGGGTATGGGAATGCTGGTTGACGGTGGCATTGCCGGAGGAGATACAGGGGTGGCAGGAGGTATCGGAACTGGTGATGTCCTTGTATTCGACCCACAAGCACTCGATAGAGTCATGGTGGATCGTGAGCGGAAGGTGGCCAACAGAAAGAAAGAGCTGCAAATTATGCTGGACCGTTTATCACAGAAGCGACGCCATGATGAACAACTCGCAGAAGATGAGGCAGCCACTTTCCGCATGGTGGGTATGCTTCCTTCTTGATGGTTACACCTTGTTGTTGTTGTTGTTGGTTGTTGTTGTTGTTGATGCTGGCGTTGTTGTTGTTGTTGTTGTTGTTGTTGTTGTTCTTCTTCTTCTTCGTCGTCTTCTTTCTCTGTCTTGTTCCTTCTTCTCCTTTGTTCTTGTTTTTTTCTCGTCCTTTTTCTTGTTCTCTTCTTCCTCCTCCTCCTCCTCCTCCCCTGCCCCCTCCTGTTGTATGTCCATTTAGCAAACCGATGCCTTCGGTCACTCAGCCATACCTCCTGGGAAAGACGGGATTTGAACCCGCGACTACTGGCATACAGACCAGCACTCTAACCAACTAAGCTATTTTTTATGGTTACCCCGGACCCGGACCTGGACAGAGCATGAGGTCCGACCGGACTGACGTCCGGAAAAATCCGGACAAAAAAAAACAAAAGAAAAAGAAGAAGAAGAAGAAGAAGAAGAAGAAGAAGAAGAAGAAAAAGAAAAGAGAGAAGAAAAGAAAAGAAAAGGTTACGGAAGGTTTACAGACAGTGAGTGAATTGGGCCCTACCTACCTCAAGGCAGTCTCCAGCAAGTGCACCTCTCTCTCTCTCTCTCTCTCTCTCTCTCTCTCTCTCTCTCTCTCTCTCTCTCTCTCTCTCTCTCTCTCTCTCTCTGTGTCTGTGTCTGTCCGTCGCTCTCTGTTTCTATCTGTCTGTCTCTGTTTCTGTCTGTCTGTCTGTCTCGAAATGAGAATCAGTCTCAGCCCGGCCCTCTTTGGCTTTCTGAAAGGGGCCGGAAAATAGTCAAAAAATCCCAAAACACTTTTTTGGGGGGTGGGCCATGAACGAACCCATATATATATTTTTTAATTTAAATACCGGACCGGACATCTGTCTGGACACCCAGACGCGGCGGTCCGAAATGGGCTCGAGACGTGCGGACAGTAGCCATGCTATTTTTCCATCTGGGTAATAACGGACTTGAACCGCTGGCTCTCTCGGTGTAAACGAGGCACTCTACCAGCTGAGCTAATTCCCCAAATGTGTTATTCCCAATCTTAACCACCCTTCTTCGCCTTTAATTCCTTTTTGTACTTCATATCAAACCGAGGATGACGCTATGACTTTGGTCATAGGATGTCTACTCGCTTGTGATATTCCTCCCACACCTGTTGCTTCGTTTGGCCCTCCTGTTCCTCCTGCTGTACATTCTCTGCATCCTCTGCCTCCTTTACGTCAGTATATTATGAAAAAATTCCTAATTCGGAAGTGCTTTATCGAGGCGGTATCCACACTGTTGTTTGAGATCGTCTGCGATGGCGAGGATAGTGCACGATCCGTGCCATTGCACTGCATCATCAAACAGTGTGGATCACCGTGGTGTTGTAGGCCGGCGATCCTGGAAGAAAGTCAGGGATCACGCATGTTGAGTCTTTTTCAGGAGGAGCCCTGGGTCTCCAAAGTGAGTCGCAGGAAGCGCACGTGCCAACATTTTTTCCCCCTTTTGTGGAGAGAGGGCAGGGCCTAACTAGTTAGGGCTGCCCTCAAAGGGCTAGGCCTTACCTCTCCCAAAAGGTTAGACCCTAATGCAATGAACCCAGTTACGAAGAAAGCTCAACAATGTCGAAGAACAGAATGTCTCAGCGCAGTTTCAATGTCTCCAATTGTACAAGTAATCAAGAGTCCAATGTCAAGTAACCAGAGAAGAGAGTGATGAGAGGGAGATTAGACTGAGAGGGTGGAAGAGAAAGTAACCATCAGCTTCAGTAGAGAGATCTCCCTCTTGGCCCACTCCTCCTTCGGGCATCTCCTACTTGCCACGTCACCAGACAGTTTCCTCTGACACACACTGACATCAAACAGATCTCAACATCGCGCACACGGTGCAGACTCCTTCTGAAGACAACAGCACAGCGCAATGTCGACACGATCGTGAACAGGTAAGCTCTCCTTTCTTCACTCGACCAATCTTACAGCCCTGATCCTCCTCCTCCTCGCTACTATCCCATCAGTGTCGTAGACAGTGGGGCGAGAGCCACGTCAGCATAATCAAGAAGAGAGCTGGCGCCGAGGACAGAAGATGGCGCCAGCGCAGTAGCAGTCTCGCGTCGCCGTCCAATATCAAGCCAGCGTGCAGTCAGCGTCGAGCATCAAGTGCAAGGCTGAATGTCGGTTAGCAGGGGATGGGTCAACTTATAGTGTCGACTCGAGGTTGACCAGCCTCTGGTCTCTCGGATACGATGGCCCAGATTGACCCGCAATCATTGGCCTGGATCTCATACAGTTGCAGATTCCCACTTGGACTGGGTTCTTGACAGATACCGGCAAACATCCAAGCGTATGTGTCTGATCGATGGCCTGGGCTGGGTCCGTGTTGACTTTGACTCGTGAGCCTGAATTTCCGAGCTGCTGCTGACCTTTGACTTTCCTTGGGCAACTGTCGTGCGTAGGGCCTCTGAAGCCCATTTTTGAGGCCTTGCTTCGGTACCCACAGCGGCTGGCCTTTGTTCAGGCTGTTTCTTGACATGGGGTGTGGCCGCTGGCCCCTGATTCGGCCCTTTAGACCGAGGTGACGACCTGTGGCTTACAACTATAGCGTGATATGAGCTGAGTTATTAAACTAACCTCTTGCCCCAAAAAAATGCAGTGCTCACACATGCTCAAATTTCTTGTGAGTGGCTAGGGCCTAGCCTTGTGAGGGCCTACTGCGTCTGGCAGAGGCAGAGGCCAGGTTTCACTGGAGCTAAGATGATCCCTTCTTTCTAGTGGTGTTTCCTCTGGTTCTGAAAAATGAGCAAACAATTTAGCGTTTGGTTGCGGAGTGCTGCCTGGTGACTCACGATACCAGCAAAACACTTGAACCCAGTTTCTTCTTTTCTCCTCAGTAGTTTTACTAATGCTCCACCAAGTGATTGGTGTCCGTCTCTAAAAAGCTTGCAGTGATGGGTGAATTCACTGGATTGTCAGGGGAGCTTATACGTTTTTTTTTTTAATGGTGGAGGGCATGATGGGTGTGTGCCCTGGTATGTCCATCTTGAAAGCTGCATGGAAACGCTGCCTAACAATCCATACCGGACTGGTGAAACCGGGGACCTTCGCCCCTCGGCACCCCCCACAGTGTGTTAATTTTGGATCAACTGGGTGGAAAAGAGGGTTTTGAGGGGACAGTTTAAGAGACTCACACACATGTTTGTGCTTCAATAGAGGAATTTTCGCGATGAAGCTTCAACCCGCCGGTGTAATTGCAGATAAACTATCATAAAGTTGGCATAAACATTGAAATAGCGGTATTTCTGCAGTGTGCCCGGAAAGGAATGTGAGTCAGGGACAAAAGATACAAGCAAATTTCCTGCTGTTTCGATTTTGGATCGACTTGTCTGGGTGAAAAAGGGGTTGTTGTGGTGACAGTCACACTATAAAAAACATGCACACAGACACACATACACAACACTCCCTCCTCTCTCTCCTTGTGCAAAACTACTAGATGCATACAGATGAGCATCATTAAGAAAAGAGAAAAAATGTAAGGTGCAGGTGTGGTGGACCTTGCACATCTCCGAATGCAACAATGAAATGGCCGTGTTGTCAAAACATTACAATTATCAGAAATATTACTATAATTTAGAAAATCATATGTAACTTGATAGAAGATTGTAAGGTAAGGTTGTCTCAATTGTGGATCTACTCATCTGGGTGAGAAAGAGGTTGCGGTGACGGTTTAAAACACACACCCAATCAGTGTTGCACCTCCGGACGGTCGGCGGCCCTTGACTGGTCGGCTGCCGACCCGCCGACCGATCGGCTGGTCGGCACCTACCGGTCAGGGGTCATCGGTACCCCGCAATTTATTTTATTTTATTTTATTTATTTATTTTGGGGGGGGAGGGGTTGGGTCCAGAACCACTAATAACACCACCAACACCCCCATAGCGGCCCTCTTTACCCCCATACACCCCCA